GGGGATATTCGTGGATAAAAGCTACAGTTGCAAACAGAATTTATTGTAAGTGAGTGGGCTTAAGGAGACTGCAAAACATTCCACCTCTGAAACTGAACGTAATCGGTCAGCAGTTAAAATGCAGAATTTATCCATGAACTAAAGAAAATAAGTTATGTTATTCTTTTCCCATCACCGCCTACACCTGCTTGAAAGCCGAACCACGTAATAGCGTGATCATTATACTCGGTTTTTTGCATCTGTTGTGATCCATGAAGCGGATTTTGACCAGGTACTCTTCCATACAGGGAATAAGTATACAGTTATGGAAGGCCTCCAGTTCACAGAAGATATGAAGAAATAAATAATTGCGCTTAACAGAATTAAGTCTCCGGGTTCGGATGAACTACCCACAAAAGTTCCGCAGGCTCTCGTTTGCGAACTCTCCGCACCACTCAACTTATTTTTCAATCGTCCTTTGGTCGAGGTATCCTCCATCGGATTGAAAAGTAGCAAGTATATATCATATCCGCAAGAGTCGATGCAGAACCAGCGCGAGCATCTATCGACTGCTGAGCCTTACATGCATTCCTTGCAAAATTATGTAAGTTATCAGCAAGGGGGCTGCAATAATATATTTCGAAGAAATAGATTTCCTCGTCAGTGGCCAACAATATATTTCGAGGAAACCACTCCTGTTTCCCCAGTATGTTTTATTCAGTGCAACAGTGGTTTAGGTCATTTGATGAGAATTCCAACGTCATCGTCTACATTAACTTCATAAAGGCCTTCTAAAGTGTCCCATACCAACGACTACTCCAAAAGATCCAAGAATTCGGGATAAGAGGGAACTTAATAAATTGGATTGGAGTCTTTGAGAAATGTATTACTTTGTGGCTCAAAATCCAGAGGACAAACGCCATAGTTACTTCTACCAAAACCTCTGTTGTATAAGGTGCCTTTCGAGGGTAACCGAGAAAAGGATCTTCCAACTCCCTAATTTGTCACCTGAGAAGTTCTCTTCTGAATGTGTCTGGGCTGGTAAACGGACAACTACTGTTCTACTCACCATTAAAATGACTTTTGTATGTATCAGTAAAGAAATTTTTGGCAAAAAGACGTAACATTTATTCGTCCACAACGGAAATGTGGAGTCCCCTAATGGCCATGTTCCGGAACCAAAGGTCCCACTTTGGTCCCACTGCGCCGTGAATGCGTATATGGGC